AGTTTCCATGGGACCCTGCATTCAGACGGAAAGAGCTTCCAAAGGTACTGGATTATACTCTTTAGCAAAATAAGGGACAGAATTGTAGGATGGGAGGTGGGGGAGAAATGGAGCATTAAGAAACTCGTAAATAGCTGGGCACCAGTGGCTCATGCCTGTAATCCTAGCTACTCAGGAGGCTGAGATCTGAGGATCATGGTTCAAAGCCAGCCTGGGCAGGAAAGGCCCACTAGAAAACCAGAAGTGGCGCTGTGGTTCAAGTGGTAGAGCGCTCGCCTTGAGCTGAAGAGCTGAGGGAAAGTACCCAGGCCCAGAGTTCAGGCCCCACGACCAACAAAAAAAAAAGAAGAAGAAACTTGTAAAACACCAACGCAAACAAATCTGGACTCCCAGTGTTTGCAGAGATCCAAAGCAAGATTTGAAACTTCCTGCTCATTGCCCTTTCCGTCTACATGCTCTTGAATCAATGCCGAAAGCCGGAAAAGATTACACCCTTGAGACCTGTAAATATTTTCCAACCAATCTAACAGCTCAATGTGCAATGTCGTGTTGGGTTTGGAGGGATCTCCTGTAGTAGCTTTTAAATGGTCCTGTGACTCAGCAAGCCAGCAGGATGAGTCTTTTGAAGATAAGAGTCTCTTGGACTTTTCTGCCTGGACTGGTCCCAAACCGTGATCCTCTAGATCTCAGCCTCTTCAACTGCTAGGATGATAAGCATGAGCCACCAGCACCTGGTTTCCAAGGTCATTTTGATTGGATGGCAGGACCACCTAGATTAGCATCATTTTCTTTTTAAATCACGCTTCTCCTGCCCACCCCAACCTGGGATCTCCACTTCCTCTCTACCTGGCAAATACTGACAGCCTTCGCAATGCAGTCCAGAGGCTCCTTCCTCCCTGAGCCTTCTCCCTGTCTCCCTGACAGAGATCGCTCTCCTGCCCCGCTCTCCCCTCGGCTCCCTCCCTGGGCATCCCTATCACAAGCAGCAGCGTGGTTATTTGTTGTTCACCCTTCTTTCTCTGAACTCTGTAAACACCAGGATGAAAGCTTTAATCTTCTTGTTCAGTTTTGCATTTCTGTCACCTGCCTCCCAACTCCACTCACATAAGATAAATAAACAATTCTGGAGGGAAGAAAGTAAACAGATGACTGTCTCATTAGCAAGGTGAGCTTTCAACTACTCTTCCTGCTCCTCCTGCTCATTCTCTTCCTGATGTGTGCTTCAGGACTGGAGGGCTCTCCGTTCTCCTAGGGAAAAGGAAGCAGAGATAACTCTATAAAGTCTATGTAAAGGCCTTGCATTAATTCTGTAGGCAACTCCAAACAGAGGGTGAGCTCTTGTATAATCTCAAAAGAGCAGGATGTAGGCTGCAAGCAAGCACAAGGAGGCTGGCCAGAGGTAGAAGGGGGGAGATGGGGCTGAGTCTTTCCTCGGGCCTCTCTCTGCAGACCCTCGGCCTCTTGCTCCACATGCTGGTCTTCCAGGAAGTCTCTGTAGGCATCCAGGCCTTGCTTTACCTCTTTGCCTTCAAACTAGGGCCAAGACCAGTCGCCTCATCCTGGCTTCCCTCAATGGACACTCAGGAAGCCAGTGGCTAGGATCACAGCCATCATCCCATGTCCATGGCCCTGTGGTGCTCACGAGCACCAGAACCGGCCCTCCATGACAGTGGGAAAAGGGACAGCCCATGGCACTGCAGGACCCCCCCCCACCCCGAGTGTCTTTTGTCAGTTACCAGAAGTGTTCAATACTTCTGGTGTACCTTTACCACACTCCGTTTTGCAAACTGGGATGTGTGTATATACTATTGTGCTGCTTGCTGGCTGCAGACTTCGATCCTGTAAAACACAATCACAAGGGCCTTTCTATCTGCACTTCCTTCTCTGTGCTCTACACATCCATTCTGCACCTGCTGTGTACCTCAGGGAAGCAGAGCCTGAAGGAGGAGAGGCCATTTTTCCCACTGCCACTCCCTGGCTGGTAGAACCTTCTTTCTCGTCATCTCCTCTGTGAGACCGCTGGGGAACCCCACAGGCAGGCTCTGGTGGAGAGTGTGTGGGGCTTTCCTCTCCTAATTGTATCCCAGACAGACTCGTGCCTCCCACCCGCTGTTGTTATTTTATTATTCCACAAAAGCATGCATCACTACAGTTGGACAGGGACTGGGAACAGGGAGAAGGTAGAGAATGTGTCCCTGGGCTCCTGATGAGCTCTGCAGGGGATGGGCGGGGGGGGGGGGGGGGGGGGGGGGGGGGGGGGTGGGGGGGGGGGGGGGGGGGGGGGTGTTTGGAATGTGCCTTGCAAATGTCTCCTACATCCAGGTTCCATATCAATCATTCCCAAGTCCTGCTAGATTGGGGAAGTGTGCAGGACAGATGTGGAGTCAGACGTGAGCCGTGCCCATTTGCTTCTGATTGGGAAAGGGTGGGGTGTCATTGTGTGTCTCACCATTCAGACATTCTCCATGGTGCTATTTTTATCCCAGGAATCATCAAATTGGTGTCAGATGGGTCGCTCCGGCTCCTCATGCAGAGGCTCAGAGCTGGGACTCAGCGGGTTTTTTCCAGGGAAGAGAGGTTATTGGATGAGGTCCACATGAGTGTGTCTCTGGAGCCCCAGGCCTTCTGGTGAGCACCACTAGCCCTGATCTGTGCTCCTGTGGATTCAACTGAGCCATCAGCACATCTAGTCATCCCTGGTCCTGGCCACTTAAAAGACATATTCCAAATGGCAGCCATTAAGCAAGGGACACACACACACACACACACACACTCACACACTCACACACACACACACACACACACACACACACACCTCTACCTTCACCAGTAGGGATTATTGTGTGCGGTGACTTGTCTGCTTGGGCCTCAGAAAGCTTTGGGGAGCTGGTGACAATCAGCTAAGGCTGACTTTCTAGAAGCAGGGCTGTTGGGGGAAAACATGGCCTCCCAGGCAAACGATCTCAAAAGGGACAGAGCATCAAGAAAGACCCTGTGGATCTCTGCCGATGTGAGCCATGAGCTCGGCTTTCACTGAGGGACCCAGGCATCTGCCACACTGACCCTTGTCATGGATATGTGAGGAGGAGGTCCTGCTGCAGGGGTGGTCCAGAATTTGAACTCCGAACCAGACTCAGCAGTGAGGGTTGGGCAGTAGTGTCAAATAACAAATACCAGGTATTAAGGCCAGATATGAAAATTGGGCCTTACCATTGGGAACCTAAGTCCTAGATAAAAACCAGTATTCTTGGGGCTGGGAAGGTGGCTCAGTGGTAGAGCGCTTGCCTTGCATGCATGAGGCCCTGGGTTCGATTCCTCAGCACCACATAAACAAAAAGAAAAAAAGCCAGAAGTGGCGCTGTGGCTCAAGTGGTAGAGTGCTAGCCTTGAGCTGAAGAGCTGAGGGTCAGTGCCCAGGCCCAGAGTTCAGGCCCAACGACTGGACCCCAAAAACAAAAAACAAAAATAAAACAGTATTCTTGGCCAACCATGAGAAGCAAGTATGAATCCCTACATGGAGAATAAGGGTAGAATTTTTAAAAAATAAAAAAATGTAAGCTACCAGCACACATATGTTTATTGCAGCATTATTTACCATAGCTAAGATATGGAACCAACCTAGATGCCCCTCAGTAGATGAATGGATCAAGAAAATGTGGTATATATACACAATGGAATTCTATGCCTCCATCAGAAAGAATGACATTTCCCCGTTTGTTAGGAAATGGAAAGACTTGGAAAAAAATTATATTAAGTGAAGTAAGCCTGGCCCAAAGAAACCTAGGCCCCATGGTTTCCCTTATTTGTAATAACTAGTACATGTCTGAGACAAGCAGAAAAGGTCAGATATGTTGATGTTAGGTGAAATGAACCCCAAAATAAGGACTCAAATGTTTTTTACTTTCATGCGTTTGTTTCTAACATATTTATAAGATGATTTCTTTGTTGCTTTGTATGTCCCTCCTCCACGATATAACCCCTGCTTTCACTGTATTTGATGTTGGTATAATTTGTGGAGGGGAGGGGATGAAACCAATCGTTTAAATAGGGATACAGGTGGACCCATTGCAACAATGAGATGTGTAAGTCCTTATGTCGAAAGCGAACTTTACAACTTCGGTGGGAGTGGGTGGATATTGGGGAGAGGCAGAATATGGAAAGGGATAGAAGGGGAAACAAAGGAGGAAACAACAATGCTTGATAAGAAATGTACCTTATTATCTTGCCCATGTAATTGTAACTCCTCTGTACAGTATTTTCATAATAAAAAAAAGTGTAGACTTTTCAGCTGTGTGCCGGTGGCTCATGCCTATAATCCTAGCTACTCAGGAGGCTGCGATCTGAGGATCACAGTTTGAAGCCAACCTGGGCAGAAAGGTCTGTTAGACTTACCTCCACTTAACCACCAAAAAACCAGAAGTGGTGCTGTGGCTCAAAGTGGTAGAGTGCTCGCCTTGAGAAAAAAAAAATACATAAATAAAGCTCAGGGACAGCACCCAGGCCCTGAATTCAAACCCCATGACTGACAAAAAAAAAAAAGAGTAGAACTGTTTAGATTTCTGTCTTTCTGTCTGGATTATAATGCCTGGAAATTTGGGATGAAATTTAACAGAAAAGCAAATTGGGGCAAAACAGGAAAAAGAGAGGTGCGGCCCTGAAGAATGGCAGAAAGTACATTCACAGATGTTCTCGGCAATCCGGGGCCTGGCGCTCTGGTTTTCATTTCCTCTGGCCAGACATTCCAAACCCCACTCGCTGCCAGTCAATAGCCGGGGCCCTGCAGGCCCAGCCCTGTGGGGTTCCGCGGGTACCACTGCAAAGGCCTCCCGGGTAGGTTGGCGGCCAGCTGGACGAGCCCAGGGCCACCTGTCTGGCCAGAACCTAACTCTGCTGTGGGCCTCTTGGAGCCAGGACTGGCTCTGTGGTCTGACTGCAATGACAATGAAATTAATAAGATCCTTATGCCGTGACTAAGGCCGCTTCCCTATGTCTCTGAACAGGGATGAGAGAGGAAATGTCACTAGGACGCCAGGAGGCCTTTGAGATCTTCAAGAGGGACCACGCTGACAGCGTTACCGTGGATGACAACAAGCAGATTCTAAAGCAGAGGTAAGGCAGGCTCTGAGAGCAGCTGGTACCCCAAGGCTCAGCCACGGTGGAAATCTGCTACCGGCCCTTCCCCACTGGGTCAGCCTCCCTTCTGCAGGAAAGGCACGCGGTCCCTGTGGCTTCACGGAGACACATCTCCGTGATGGGGGGGGAGCCCCATCACCCCTACACCACTGGACTAAGCAACTTGAGGGAGAGGGCGGTGGCAGAAACTCTATCCCACTTTCACATCACAACATCGTGAGTCTTCATCTGCTCAGAAGATAGAAAGAGAACACTTACGGGCCAACTCTAGTCTCAGAACTCCAGGCCCAGCAGCTCCGCTGGACAAAGAGCCCCAACACATTTTAGCCAACATGAATGCACATCTTGTAACCCAGAGGCCTTTGGGGCATTCTCCTCCACCAGAGCAGACGGCATCTGCTGGTGGTAATGTTATCAAGCAAGGACGGGTTCTGGACCGCTTTAGAAAAGAAAAGCAGATCTGTAATGTGTCATAGCTAGTCTGTGAATTAGAGGCATATGCTCCAACTGTTACAATCAGACTGTCAGATACGTCATCTAGGACTCAATAGAAAGAGTTCTAGTCTGGCAGTGAGTTGCCTCCAACTCCAGGTCTCAGTGGAACTCTCCTGGCAAATTTTCAAGACCAGTTTGTTGAACCGAAAGGAGATCTGTGTTTGGGGGTCGTGTCTTTAAGTGACAATTCAAGGAAGGCTGGGAAGTTGTTGAGCTCTCAAGAGCGGACGTGTGGAGGTCTAGATCCAAACAGCAGAGGAGGTGACTTTGAAGGAAAGGTACAAGAAAGGAAAGAGGAAGCAGACAGAAAAGGGAGAAGCAGGAGAGAACAACTTCTTGAGAGCCAAGAGGGAGGACGGCTTCAGGAGAGGCATACAGTCAGTGATGTCAGATGGAGGGAGGGAGGAGGGAGGGAGGGAGGGAGGGAGGGAGGGAGGGAGGGAGGGAGGCCTGCATGTAGATCTGTCCACAAGAGGACCATCCAAGTTGAATTAGAATGAATCAAAGGAGCAGAGACCAAATATGAATAATGTGTTTTTGGACCAGGGGTGTGGCTCACGGTTAGAACCCTGGCCTGGTGCGTGGGAGGCTCTGGGATTTCATCCCAACACTGGAAAAAAAAAAAAAAAAAAAGGTGTCCAAAAAGTTCACGTTAGATGAAAAACATTTTTTAAAAGAAAAAAAAAAGGAAGAATTGGCCAAGATAGTAGACCGTGGAAGCAAGCCAGGGGCAAGGGAAGTAGAGAAACTCAGGGTCAGGCTGGGGCAGCAAGGCCTCCTGCAGACTAGTGGCTTTGGAGCCAAGAACTCGGAGGGGTTGACCCTTGGAAGGAGGCATGAATAGAAAACAACTCGAGGTGAGCCTGCCCTGGGAAATTTGAAGACTTGTGAATGATAAGCCGTGTCACACGGCTGCCACAGAGAGGGTCAAGAAGGCGGACGAGAAGAAGAAGGAAGGACAGACAGCACAGGGCGCTGAAGGCCTGGGCTGTGAGAAGGTGGGGGCTGGGGCTCTGCGGGGATGGTGACAGATGGACAGCAGTCCTGGACAGCAGTCCAGCCCTTCTCAGTCTAAGCAAGTCCACGCACCCCTGCAACCTTGCCATTCCATATTGGGATATATGTCCCAAGATGCCCTCATCGACAGTCCCAAGGGCACATATATGTAAGTAGATATAGATATATAGATATATGGCATCTCATGGCAGCACTACCAGGAGCTGAAGAGAGTCAGACACATTGGGGGTGCCTGTCGCTAGCTAAGCAGGTAAAATAATGGGGGAGCCCATAGCTCAAGATGCAGCTGATGGACACAGTGGGTTCAATGTCTGCATGCCAACAAGAATAGGTCACAGTGCCATGTAGGAACGCAGTTGCTATAATGCACAGATGTGTGCACACAAAACTACAGCATGCAAGCAAAAGTGTAGGAGCCAGACAGGAGAATAAAGAGGAATGGAAGAGCACATGAAAGAAACCAGGGCATGGGCAGGAGATAAATTGAGTCTGGTCAAAGCTGAAGATGCTCTCTGTAGGAAAGTGATTCTGTGCACACAGCACCAATCTTAACGCGTGGGTCCAGGGGTTTTGCAGACCTGCGCCTGCATGGTAAGCCATGCATTTTAGGTATAGCCAGTTGGATGCACTAGCACAGGATATCTTTCTTGGCTGTTTGAAGAAAGCCTGGTAAGTAGAAGCCAACTGCCTCATCCTTGAAGACTTCCAAAGAGGCTTCCAACATTCCCAGGCCAGAGGCTTCGTAGCTTACCCTTGATGACTCATTAATCCTGGCTTCCTATTAAAATGACCCCTGGAGCTTTAAACCCTACCAGGTCTGGGCCCAACTCTTCAGGTATTCTGATTTAATTAGGTGAGACCTGAGCAGCCCATTAAAAAAAATAATAATAGATTCCCCTAACTGGCAGATTTCGAAACCCCTGGTGTTGACAGTGTCCAGAGACATTGAAATCCAGAATCTCTGAAGTAGAATCCTCAAAACTTTACAGATTAAAAAAAAAAAAAATTACTAGCTCGAGTTTAAGAACCACTGATAGGAAAAACATACTTCATCTTTCTTTGTCTAAAATTGCCGTTTGGGTTTGTATCTGAGTTTGGGTCTGTATCCAGTGTGGAAGTGAGTGGAGACCAGACAGGGCCATGCACTCACCACCATCTTTGCTTGAGTTCATTATAGTCCTGACATCCTGTGCTTGAAGTTTAAACAAGTTCACACAGAATGGACTGCAAATATGGCGGCCCTTTTTTTCTGATGGCCACTGTACAAGAGAATTCATGAGTCTCACCCTCTCTCACTCTTGCAGAGAGAGAGAGAGAGAAAGAGAGCTCTTTCTCTGAAAAGAGGTCTTCCTCACAGTAAATCAGTGTTTTAAAATCGAATGAAAAATCACAAAACCAGCCCATATGTTTTTTAAAATTCCCACATCTGTGTACTGTTACTGCCCTACCATTCATTAAAGGACTCTGGTTCCCGAGGGTAAAAGGGTTTAACTCAAAACTTACCCTTTCCTCAAGACTGGTTCTTTTGTTTGCACCCATGGAGATACATAGCAGAGAACCAAGAGACAAATGTCCTCATGTAACAACACTGTACAACCAGTGTCCCAATAGTGTCCCAATATCGGGTGTCAAAATAAGGCCACTTCCATGATGTCTTTTGGGCCTGGGCTCTGCCCCTCAGCTCTTCAGCTCAAGGCTAGCGCTCTACCACTTGAGCCACAGCGCCACTTCCAGCTTTTTTTCTGCTTATGTGGGGCTGATGAATCAACCCAGGGCCTCATGCGTGCAAGGCAAGCACTCTACCACTGAGCCACCTTCCCAGCCCCCATGCTGTCTTTTAGGTAGCAATGTCATTCCATGGATCCCAACCCCTTCCACACCATTTCTTTAGCTCCCCCTAGTGGCAAGGAGGACCCATGTCAAGGTCTATGCAAGGACTTGCCCATCATGGCAATATGGACAAGGGACCAGAAGAAGGCCTTGGCTGGGGACGGCCTCCTCACTAGGCTAATAAGACTCTATGTGAGATCTCGCTTTTCTGTGGGTCCTGAGCTCCCTGGACCCATCAGCCTGGCCTCCCATTTTACTCCCTTCTCCTCACATCTAGTAATGGTGACCTGAGGTTTCTGGCATGACGCCCGTCATGTTGTAAACTGGTCCAAAAGAGAGATTAGAACTAATGACCCCCACCATACAAAACCTTCTCTATCCCACAGAAAATACGTCCTAATCCCTAACGTAGAGACCTTGGTGGCCCAGAATCCCTTCTGACTCCCTCCCTTCTCCACATACAAGACCAGGATGGAGGATGTAAAGCAGGTACCTCATTGAGAGGTTTTCCTGCTCTTCCTCATCCCCTCCCTCCCGCCCAGTAAACTTTGCCTCAAGGCATTTCCAGGATCCCCAAGCTCTGGTTCACAGTCTGGGGGAAGTTGTGTTTCCTGCCTGTGACAACCGAAATAAGATATTGGCGCACTAATAGGATATTTGCCCTTCCACGCCCCACAGCAGGCAAGCCAGTTTTTAAGCAGGATTTTTCGGTGGAGGACAATTACAGATCACAATCACTGCATTTTGTAGGCATGACTCATCCTTCGTGTGTAATAATACAAAGAGAGGCTGCTGGCCCCGTGCTTGGCAAATATCAGTGCCCAAGCAAAACACAGTGAACCCTCCTTTGTGAGAGAAACTGAATCCTACAGACACAGAGTCCCATTAAATAACAAAAGAAGAAATGAACAGGGAGATTAACTACAGTTGGCAATAAAGGCATTGATAATGTGAACTAAAGCGAGAAAAAGAGCCCCTCCACTCAGTTGGATCCATCCAACATAGAATAGAACAGCAATCTAAAACCAACAGGAAAACCAGGCCCAGCGTGGAGAGAAATCTCAGGCACCATCTGGAAATAACACCCATGACAAATAGGAGCTCCCTGCTTTGTAGGAGATGTGGATCTTAACCTTTACTATTTTTCCATTTGTATTTTTGTACTTATACCTTGTCTGATGAACTACAATTATGAACTCTGAAAACAGAGATTAGATTAGGATCTTCTTGGCCTCCCCCACAGTTTTTTAAATGGTGCCAGACACAAAAATAGTATTACAAAACCTCTTATTTTGTTTGAGAATTGACACATTTGACATTGCCTGGCCAGGAGCACGGCTTGAGAGAACAGGTAGCTTCCTACAAGTGGGAAGACACAGCCGCAGCTCCCTGAGAGTCAGGGCGGAAATGCCAGGACCGCCATCTTGATGGGGAGAAGAAAAAACAGGAAAGCATGATCTTCCTCCCAGTGAAATGGCAGCAGCTGGAAGTATAGCTGTAGCTCAAGTGGTGGAGTGCTACCCTTGAATGAAAAAGCCAAATGGGAGCACCAGGCTCTAAGTTCAAGCCCTAGTACCCAACACACACACACACACACACACACAAAAGCAGCCACCAAGGTACCCTGTGTTGGT